GAATCTACACGTGGAAGACCTGACGATATTATTGAATAAGAAAGATGGTTTTACTCGGATGGATGACGTCGATGTTGTCCGAGTATGCATTCTAATACTTTTGCATGCCGGCTTTTTAGGCAGAGAGGCCAGACAACCTATTCCGAATGATCTAATCAAATTGGTAGAAGACATAAATGCGTGGAACCTGTTTCCGTGGGTCTCGTATTTATGGAAAGCTACATGGAATAAGTTATCGTCTGCCTTGGATGATCGAAAAAGTTTGCATGGCGATGGTTCCAAATATACTTTGATAGGCTTTATTTGAGCCTTTAAGGTAAGAATTTTTATATAATGTTTCCAAAATTATAAGTAATTATTTAACAATTACTAATGTTTTTTATTATATTGTTTGTAGATTTGGATATTTGAGGCATTTCCCGCCATGAAGACATATGCAATAAAACTTCAAATGATATTCCCAGGGCTATTTCCTGGAAGAGGAAACGGACCTTGCAATGGGAATATTTACTACGGTATACGACAATAAATAATGTAAGTTAACATAAATACTACCATATGTTTATAAACAAGTTATTACTAGTACATGTTTAACTTTGTTTGAGCTTTTATATTGTTAGGAGGCCAACACTCCATTACAGAGGCTGACACCCACGGAAGCTGAGCTTGCCACTGATTGGTGGCAAGCTAGTAAGCATTGTTTTGATGGCACGGATGATGAGAAGCCTCCACTTCGGGAGCCATCACCTCATCTAGAGCTATCACCTCACCCAGAGCCATCACCTGATCGACCCGACTATACACCTCCACAACGACAGCCATCACCTATTCTGTCACATCATCGAGCCTCTTCTCCACCATCACCGCAAGATAGGCGACCGGAAAAGATGTCACGACATTTATCTCCCTGTTCTCCACCTCCACCTCCACGGGATGAGTTAGGGGAGTTACGTGATGAGGTCAATGCCTTGCATGAGGAGGTTGGTACTTTATGCAAAGACGATGGTGCATGGCGTGTTGAGGTGTCTACTTTACGCGGTGAGGTAGCCACTCTACGTGAGATGGTAGAATCGTTGCAGAATGAGGTTCATACTCTACGCAACGAGGTAAGTTTAAGATTTTTCATATTTAACTTGATGATAAATTTACTCGTAATTTCACTTAGATTAACCATTTCACTTAGATTGCTTAATAAATTCATTCGGTTGCTGCCAATACTGCTAAACTATTTTTGTTAGTATTTGTTTTTGGTTTTGTTTTTGTCATTTGGTTGAAGTAATGCAATCCATTCAAGTTTCAATTTGCAGAAGAAGAATAGTTTACTTTCGCAACACGAAAATGACTATCGCAACGCGGAAATGGCTATTGCAATGTGAAATGAAAATCGCAACGAAAAAATCGCAATGCGAAATGAAAATCGCAACGACAAAATCGCAACGCGAAATAAAATTCGCAAGTAAACTATTCTTCTTCTGGAATGTTTATATATGTTGTCCTTTTAAATGTTTATATAAAGCTTACTTCTGAAATGTTATCTGATGCATTTTGTGAACTATGATAGAATAATGACTTGGGTGAATACAATGCAAGTTTGAAACATATTTGTCTTTGTTTAATATCATGTCTGTTTATTGACTGATTTATGTATTAATTTTTTTAGCGGCCCGATAAGGTGGATGCTTTACGTCGGGTTTTCCTTGCACGACAGAGTTCACGCATCAGACGGCGTGCACGTGCTATACGTCTCCGTTCACCCCAATGGTGCGAAGACTCCGCAAGAAGAAGTCCGACTCACCTGTCATCCCTCAAGAGTCCCCTCCAATCGTTCAAGAGGCCCCTATCATCTCTCAAGAGTCCCCCCCACCGTTCAAGAGGCCACTTTCATCGTTGAAGAGGTCCCTCCCACCTTTCCAGAGCCCGATTCACATGGGGTAATATATCGAATTATTGAGAAACCCCCACCGTTGCCGGACATGATGGATGAGAGTTGGCTCTCGTATGAGTTACCGGCTAGTACCCTTCCGGTATCTGAAGTGGAGAGGAGACAACTACCGGAAACAATTCTGGATAATACCCTTTGGGCTAAGACCGCAGTTGATTTTTATCTACATGAGCGGAGCCAAGGGTGTTACACTGACATAAGCAAACTCAACGATGAGATGTATTTGTTGCTTAATCGGTCTTGATGGGGTGTGTTATTAGGGGTAGAAGACAGTGGCTATTTCGATGGGGAGGTAAGTCTTATATTTGTCTTATATATGATTTTGATTAATTTTTTTAAAAATTAATGTAATTCACTAATATATGTCTTTTTTTGTAAAACAGCATATCGATGCGTGGGTGTCACGTCTTCTAATAATAAGGAAGCTTAGGAAAAATAAAAAAAATTCGCGATATATAATAATGCCGGCGGCTTTTCACGTAGTTCACTTGAAGAATCAATGAGATGAATCATTTTCGTTGGGCAATGGACAAGCTAAACTTTATCCTGCATGGTGGGAGGTCGATAAGGTTAGTGTTTATTTTTTAAATTTTTTAAAGGTGTTCATAAATAAGTGCGCAAATAAATGAATTATTACTTATGATTGCAGGTGTTTATCCCTGTTTTGGAACGTCGTCATTGGCCTCTCGTCCAACTTCAGCTCCCATCCCTGAAGATAATAGTATATGACAGCATGATAAATTACATATCACTGTCTGATTTGAGAGATATTATCAAGGGATGGAGCTCTCATTTGGCTAAATTCTTGGATGGGATTAATTATTGGACTCATTCTGGACACAAGAAGCCAAAGAAGTTCAATGTCACAGTTGTCAGAGACGAGACCGTGCCACAATAATCGCCGGGAGCCAGAGGGGATTGTGGTCCTCTCGTATGCATGTGCTTGGCGCGTTTGACGAGGGGAAGCACAGAGTTTCTACCTCCCACCGATAGAGATAGAGCTGCAGTAGGCTTGTGGTTTCGGCATTATATGGCTAGAGCGATATATTCGAGACGCTGCCTACCTGCATCCGCGTTATGAAAGTATCCATTGTTAATTGGTAAGTCAAATGCAAGTTTTGTTAACATATATACTCCTTTTGGTTTGAAAATGTTTGGTTAAGTACCTAGAATTCAATAATTTGCTGTTTGTAGGTTTTAGATGTATAGGAAGTCTTGTTTGAGAAAATGTTTGGTTTCTGCAGGTTAATCCTTAAGTGAGCTGCGTGAAATGGGTGTACGGGTGCAAAAGTTGATTCATTGATTCAATAATTGATGAGGAAATAAGAATTATTATTATTTTTTGATTGTTTAATTGATTTGTAAAAAATGATTTGTAAATGTTGATTTGTTTAATTGATGTGTACATAATTCTTATTTGTGCTTGTTTAATTGATTGAAATGTAATAGTTGATTTGTTGATTTTCAATCTTCATTATGTTGACGGAAAAACAGACTATCGCAACACGAAACTGACTATCGCAACGAGAGAATCGCAATGCGAAATGAAAATCGCAACGAGAAAATCGCAATGCGATTTTCATTTCGCATCGCGATTTTCTCGTTGCGATAGCCATTTTCGCGTTGCAATAGCCATTTTCGCGTTGCGATTTCCCCATTGCGATAGTCAAATGAATGTCTAATAAATGATAACAACTGAACAGATCATAGCAATGTTCAAACTCAAGTTACTAATACATGTCTAACTGAAAATGTTAAAAGTGCACACATAAAATACACATAATACAACGTTTGCATTTAAAAATCACCTAAGTTAACAGTCCCAAAAGGTAAAGCCAGTTATACTCCCGTGGCATTTTCTTTTCTTCGGGGACTTTTTCTTCTTCTTTTTCTTCTTCAGGATTATATGAATTACAGAATGGATGTTCAACATGTTCATTCACAGTCGTAATTTCCTCCTCATTATCATCAACAACATCTTCCTCGGCAACGGTTGTTTCATCATCAAAATTCGGGTATTGACCAATATCAAAATCATTACACGCAGGGTCTGTTTCTTCTTCTGAAACATCATCAAAATCCGAGTATTGACCAATATCAAAGTCCGCATTACGATTCTGTATTATATCGTTGCGATAGTCAGAATCTCGTTGCGAAAGTCAGAATCGCGTTGCGAAAGTCAGTATCGCGTTGCGATAGTCAGTATCGCATTGCGATTTACTTATTCGCATTGCGAATTGGGAAAATCGCAACGCGAAATTGGAAAATCGCATTGCAATAGTCATAATTGCATTGCGAATCTGGAAATTGATTTGCGATAATGGAGATCGTGTTGCGAATTAGCGATCGCATTGCGATTTTGTTGGTCATTTTGGCAAATCCGGAAAAAGTTGGTTAAAATCGTATATTATATGGGATTTTTGGTCACTGAGGTTATTTTCTAATTCCTAAATCAAAAGAAAAGAGAATAATTTTGAAATAAGTGAAAGTTAGCTGGATTAAAAGCATAATTAGGCCAATAAAAAAATAAAGATACAACAGCCGAGTGAGCCAACCGATACGCATACGCCGCTTCTTTCTCGTTTCTTAAACAAAAATACCAAACAGGCAAATACACGTTTCTGCTTTTTATTTTTATTCCGGGTCAAAATTTCCATTTATTTATTTTTTAATGTTAATTTATTATATATATCTTTTGTTGAAATAAAGTAATAATAAAAATCAGTTGACCAGAAATTGAAGGCAACCTCTCAATGAATTCTTAATTTTATTTATTTATTTATTGTTTTGTAGTTTTTGTTTTCTGTTCTTGGTGAAAACAGAGAAGAGTTTCTATCATTCGTTTTCCCGCAAATACTGGAACAATGCCTCCTTCCCTTCAACTGTTAACCTATTCACGATTCCCGCCCTTTACATTTCTCGCTTTTTAAATCTTTTATTTTACTTTAAAACTGTCAATTTCATCTTATTTTATCAATAATTTCGAATCGGTTTGGTTTCTTTGTTTCAATGACCACATCTTTTAAGAATTTCGATTCAACCTTTAAGACAAAAATTGGACAGTAGACTGATAAGATTAGGGTAAACGAATTGCTTTTTTTTTTCCAAAGAAACGGGGGGATATTCAGATGGAAAGGGAGAGGTGGAATAGCGCCATCGCAAATGGACACTACAGTTACGATACGAACGGGTATTGTACACGGTTTTGCAATGATTATAGGCTATCGGACGGAGATAAGGTTTCTTCTCCCACGTTACCTTCTGCTGGTTACATTGAACATACCGTTTCCCGTTTCGATACTCTCGCCGGGGTCGCCATCAAGTACGGCGTCGAGGTAGCTATATATTTTCGTTTTCTATTTCAAAATCTGAGGAAATTGATGAATCTTAACCTAGGGCTTGAATCTAATTATATTATATTATGTTTATCATTTTCGTCAATGATCTGTGGAGGTAAATAACAAATTGTTGCTGTTGATATATCAGGTATCTGACATTAGAAAGATGAATGGTCTGGTTACGGATCTTCAAATGTTTGCTCTTAAGACACTACAGATCGCTTTACCCGGGCGGCATCCACCGTCACCTAGCTTGTCAAATGATTCCACCGCATCAGGGTATTATATCTTCGTCTTATTTTCAGTATTAATTGTTTTGTTTCTTCTTCCAGCTACTGAACTTTACGTTTTTAATGCTTGTAAAATTAGTCTCTGACTTGTTAATTACATCCATAGTAATTGTTTTTCAGAACGTCGGATGGTGTTGCGTATTCGAAACTGAAATATGGGATTCCCATGAGGAACCATGGTTAGCCTAAATTGCTTTTCCTATGTTGTTCCCTTGGCGGCACCTTTTAGTTTCCTTTAGGATGTGTATAGTTATAGGAGATTATCGAGAAGTGATGACGGATTTAAGATTTTATGTTAATGATAAATTTATACAATTTTTAGGGGAATGTATACAATTAATAAAAAATATAAATAATATTTAAATTATTTAAAAATTTGAAATTTCAAAAAAAATAATCACTTCACCAGTTTCCCCCGGTTCATCCATGTCCAAAAGCCTCTCTTTAATTGAACTGCACTTCTGCAGCTTTGCTTCATAGAAAAGACAGAAAGGGATAAGATGAAAATTATTAATCCAATGGTTGAACTGTAAAGTAGGAAACAGGTTACCTAGCCTCTGCATCGTATTAATAATTTTCATCAGAACAATGCATCGTTGGACTGTTTAATTGCTAGATGTTAATTTTTTTTTTGAAGGAACTAGATGTTAAAATTATTTTCTGGGATACTGGTACAAATAGTAATAATCATTTAGATTCAATGCCCCAAGGTATACTATGAAATATTTCAGTGGGGTTGTTTAGGTGCAGAGCCTTCATCATTGTTGGACTCTTCATTAGTTGCTATATGTGAATTATTTTCCGGGGACATGGCTTCAGGCTTTTGCAATATCTGAGATTAGTTGGTTAATAGACTAGATATTGATGGTTAAATAAAAAGATATATTATCTAAGAAATTAGTTTTGAAGAGATTGATTTAACTGTTTCAGTGAGTATTTTGAGGGTTTTTTTTTCATCTGGTATTTGTGTTTCTTAATTTTGATCGGTTGTTTCAATTGAGCTCATGTTCTACAACTCTTTGCAGGAAAAGCAGTGGCAGGCAAACCCCAAGACATTTGCCACCTGATTGGCTTGACTCATTCCAGTCTTTGAAATTGAGGAGTCCTCGAAAGGTCTCCCCGGCAATGAGCTCGTTACAAGGTTACTATGGCCTTAAAGCAACAGAAAAAGGGACGATGTCCGAAGTTCTTGAAATGGCATTATACAGGAAAGGAGAAGCTGATTATGTGGATGATGGTCTGCTCTCCCACCCACATTTGAGGCTTAAAAGGAAGAGTAGAAGTGTAGCAAACGGATTTTACAGCGAAAACGGTGAAATCTTGGTGGATATCATGGCTGCAGGAGAAGACAGAGACAGTGAATCCCAAAGACCCAACGATAAACTGATTAGAAGACCACAAAAATCCGAGGCCGACTTTACTGCCCGTCTGTTGAAGGAGGAAAACAGCAACAATGGTGGAGGGTTTTCGTTATCGAAACGATTGACACTGAAATCAAAAAGCGGAAGCCGCATGAATTCAGGGACAGTGGCAGATGGTGAGATGACGAGGTTCAATCCTGCAACAACAATCGAAGAAGATGAATACGTGATTGACGGGTTCGAAGTGAGGAAGTCGTCGAGCGCATCTTGTTTGCATGATCATCAGGACAACAGCTGCAGTATTGGCAGCAGTAGTTTAACATCACTACTATTGATGGATTTACAGGGACTGTCAACTGCGGGCATTACTAGACCTATTTTTGATGGATTTACAAACATGTCGGCTCGTAAAAACAAAGCTGCGCTCGATTAGCTTCAATAGCGTAGCGTCAAATGCCCCCATCATATTTCCATGTCAATTCAGCACAACTTGTGAGCCACCCTCAAACTGCTACTTGCTAGCTCTTTGAGGATTACATGATATAGAAAGAAAGAAAAAGGGAAAGGCTTTTGAAAAACAAAACAGTTCATAAACAGAAATTGAATAAAAATTTAATTATTTTTATATTTACTCATTTGAATATTTTGTTTTGTCGATGGTATTAAATGGATTGTAGCAATTATAGGTTGTTCATCCTTTTTGGTTTAGACTGTTGGTGGTTGATCGGCCGTTATTCAGTGTTAAAGGATTTTATTTTCATAAGGAGATCGAAGAGAGATGAGTTATGATGAAGTAATTTTATATTTTTTTACAATCTCAATCGAAAGATTTTATAAAATTTGACTATCATAAAATTAAACCGTGAAACTAGGACAAAAACAATTAATGATGAAAGAGCTTACCGGCTCCAATCCTAATTCGGACCTGTATCTTCAGTGTCTCTGTCATCTTGGCCATCTTTGGTTTGTTTAGCTACAGCATCGGTGACCAGAGCAATTGGCCTTCGATCAATAGCTTCATGTCGTAACCGATTTCCGGCGATACGACGAGTCTCGACTCATTTTGTGAAAACTCGATTTTGTAAAAGAATTGTTTCGGAGTCTCCATCGACCTTTTGAATTAAGTAGGTCGAATACCTAAAAAATTTCTTTTAATAAGAGTTTTTAAGAAAAATATCATTATAAAAGATACAGCGATCTACGTGTAACCAGAAATTTATTTTTTAGTAAGAAAAATGGTTTAGGAGTTGATTACGTGTGGGAAATGATAAACACCCCCACAACGCTCAAAATTAGTACCCATCGATTATATATTGTCTCTAAATAGTAGAAATCTAAGAGTTCGAATACATATTTAAATTACGATTCCATTATTCTGAATTCAACCATTAAAAATTCTAAAGAAAAAATATAAAATGTTCTCTTATTTCCAATTGAAAAGAAAATACTCCATAAAATACTTTAGTACGAATATTTCTCTTTTCAACTGAAATAAAAAGAATATAATAATTTTTCCTAAGAATTCAATATTAAAATAATTTTTATTTCAGCCAAAGAAAGAAATAAAATTCATTAATCCGAATTATATTATTAGAAAAAATAAGTGATATTCAATAATTTAAAAATACCGAGACTTAATCCCTAATAAAATTAGCAAATTGTCTCGATAAGTTTAAAATAGTGAATATTTACTTTTCCCTTCAAAATTAATTAATTTTTAATGCAATCAATTTTTTAGGTTTTCTAGTGGGATATTTATTTATTTTAAAATATTGAAAAAAACATCTAGTTGTCTTAAGACTGCCTCTTCTTAATATTTTAAAATACATAAATACTACCCTTAATCTAATTATGTAATCGGTTAAGTTATGCTAATGAGACTTTTAAACAAAATAAAATATGATACATTGAAGCACTTAGAGAAAAAAATATAAATACACATAGATTAAATGAACAATTTTAAATTTATTTTTAACTTTATATTACTTTATAAATATATAAATATTTTCTAAATATTATATCAAACATAGAACATGATATTTATTCTAAAATAAAATAAAAATATAATAAAAATATAAAATAAAATATTTATACCATTCTATAATATTATATACAAAGTAATATATAATAATAATACAAACAAAATAAATATATAAAACCTAAAACATATTTTAATGGTAAAATAAATAATACACATATGAATCTACTCATTACATGGTGATAAAAATAAATGTATAGTAACCTTAGGATCTTAAACATTAATAAACAAATACTATAGCATGAAACAAGAAAATAATCAAAACAGAAGCACTAAAATAGTAAATAAACCATACATATATGACTAAAATGGAAGATCACAAATAACAGTAGCCAATTTCGAACAAAAAAATAATACATACAGTAGAGGACTAAATTACAATAATATAAAACCAAATATCCAATTTGCAAATCATGTAAAATAAAAGAAATGGTGACCAAATCATAAGAAACGCTAAACTTAAAGGGACCTAAGGCACGATTAACCCTAACAAATGACTAACACCCTGATCATATTAAACATAAAGGACCAGTAAGGTGATTAATCCTAAAACTAGTGGCCATAATGTAAAAACGCTAAAGGTCCAGGACCTTAGCGTGGTGTACCCAAAAAACTTATGAAATCAACTCCCCCTTTCAGATCTCACTTCTGCCGTGGTTTCTAATCCCCAACTTTTATTTTCCTTTCCTCTTCTCCCTCAACTCACGGTGGCTACTCACCAAAAAAATAAAACGCCCACCGTCTCGGCCACCTTACGTGGGTGGCCATTCCCTCAACTACCCACCATTGCCTCGTTGAAACCCATCGCCCATAAACCCCGTCGAACCCAGCCTAGCCCCCCTCGTCCATCCTTTGGCCGAGAAGTTCGAAACTTAAAGAGACCCACCACACACGGCGACGCTGCTACCCAAACTACACTAACCCAGCTCTAATCGTTTCGTCTACAACCCTATTCAACGAGGAACACAATAAACCCCAAGTAAAATCTTACTCTTAATTTATTTTCTTTCCCTTAAAAAAACTTTGTTTTAGTTTTATTATCTTTTGTTTAAACCAAAGAAAAACAAAAAGGAGAAAGAAAAACTACCTTTCCAAAGAAGTTTTTTTTTGTATTTTTGATGAAAATCCGAGAGGGGAAAAAGATCCTCTCTTGTTACATAGCTCGGTTCTTATAACCGATTTACATAGGTTTTAAAAAAATAAATAAAAAACAATCCTAGATCTACTGTGGTGCTACTGTGTTGATGATGGAGCGTTTTTAATGCTCCGAATATTATGAGGTTTTGTTGAACAAGCTTGGACCGGCGTGGCAGTGGAGGCTGAAGGCATGATATCCTTAGGTATAGTTAGGTTAGGGTTCTGTTGGGTTTGAATGGGGTTATGGGATTTAGGGGTTATGAAAAATGGTGGTTACACTTCATCAATTAACCCAAACTCTTTAGCTTCTTCCGGTGTCATAAAACAATCCCTGTCCATATTCTTCTGAATCACATCGACAGATTGCCCCGTGTTCTTGGAATACAAAGCGTTCAATGCATCCCAAACACGAACGATCTGCTTGGTGTGGATGGTCAGATCTCTAGCCTGGCCGCTGTACCCACAAGAAGGCTGATGGATCATGATGGTAGCATTGGGGAGGGATCGGCTTTCACCCTTAGCACCCGCTGCTAAAAGGAGAGAAGCCATGGATGCAGCTTGCCTCAAACATATCGTGTTGATCGGAGACTTTATGTACTGCATCGTATCATAAATCGCAAGGCCTGCATTTCGGAAATTAAAAATCAATCTCAAGTTTCAGGTACTAAACCCATAATTATACCCAAAAAATGATACGATTATGGAGAGAAATCAGAGAATTGGGAATTTGGGAAATTTAAAGCAAAGCACCTGCGGTGACAAGGCCGCCAGGATAGTTGAGGTACATGTGGATGGGTTTGGAGGGGGTTTTCAGATTCAAGGAAGAGGAGCTGGGCCACGACAACGTGGGCGGTGTCATTGTTGATGGGACCATTTATGCAGACGGTCCTTTCCTTGAGGAGACGAGAGAATATGTCGTAATCTCTCTCGTCGCGAGAGGAGTGCTCGATCACTATTGGTATCAGGCTGTAGTTCCGGTGGATGGAAGGAGATAGGGAGGAAGATATGAGGCGTTTGGCGGTATAAATAAGGGACCTCATGGTTGCCAGAAAGGCGAGACCTGGGTAAGGTTGGGGATGGAGATATTGGACAGAGGAGGTTAGGATTAGAGGCAACTTCTTCTCTCAGCTTTTGTGAGTCAGACTCTGATAGGATCATTCTTTAAGCCTGTTTCTCTTATTCATTTTTGGGTAAACTACACGGGAGACCACCAAATTATGGTCATTAATCGATCTTGTCATTGAAATATATTTTATCTTAATTCGATCCCAAACTTTTTAATTGATTCAATCAGATCACTCTTCGTTAAAAAAATAGATTGTTGACGTGTCCGTTAATAAAACTGGCATAATTATACATTTGGTCCTTAATATTAGAATAATTATACATTTGGTCTTTAATATTTACATATTTTATCAATTTAGTCATTATTTTAATTCAATTAAATAAATTTAACTATTCAATTAGAACATGACACGTGTCAATACATGATTGAAATGTTTTATTTATGAATTTAAATTATTTAATTAAATAATTTTTTTACCAATCTGGTGGTGACATGTGTCACCACCAGATTGAAATGGAAAATTAAAGAACAAATATGCAATTGGGGTAAATTGAACTTGTGCCTTTTAGAGGAAGATTAACCAACCCCTAAACCGTTGGGCCAAAGATCTCTAATGGTTTTAACTTGCAACAATTTGTATTTGACTTCTTAAAGTTTGTTAATGATAAAAATAATTAAACATTAATCGAACCGAAATTTATTTAAAAATTATTAATCGAATCAAATCAACCGATTTTTTTCTTTAACATTAATCGAACCGAAATTATTTTACAGTTAATCGAATCGAAATTTATTTAAAAATTATTAACCGAACCAAATTAACTGATTTTTTTTAACATTAATCGAACTGAAATTATTTGACCGTTAATCGAACCGAAATTTATTTAAAAAACATTAATCGAATTTTTTCTTTAACCATTAATCGAACCAAAATTATTTGACCGTTAATCGAACCGAAATGTATTTGAAAATTATTAACCGAACCAAAACAATTGATTTTTTTTCTTTAACCAATTGAACCGAAATTATTTGACCGTTAATCGAACCAAAATTTATTTGAAAATTATTAAACGAACAAAATCAAATGATTTTTTTTCTTTAACCATTAATCGAACCGAAATTATTTGACCGTTAATCGAATCGAAATTTATTTGAAAATTATTACTCGAATAAAATAAATTATTTTTTCCTTAACCGTTAATCGATACAAAATTTATTTGAAAATTATTAACCAAATTTTTTTCTTTAACCATTAATCGAACCGAAATTTATTTTAAAAAATAATTTGTTTAATTGTTTTTATCATTAATAAACCTTTAGAAGTTAAATATAAATTGTTGCAAGTTAAAACCATTGGGAAATTTTGGCCCAACGATTTGAGCGTTGATTAATCTTCCCTCAAAGGCACAGGTTCAATCCTCCCCAACTGCATCTTTGTTCTTCAATATTCCATTTCAATCTGGTGGTGACACGTGTACCACCCGATTGGTTAAAAAATAATTTAATTAAATAATTTAAAATTCATAAATAAAATCTTTCAATCATGTATTAACATGTGTCATGTTCTAATTGGATAGTTAAATTTATTTAATTAAATTAAAATAGTAACTAAATTGATATAATATATAAATATTAAGGACTAAATGTATAATTATTCCAATATTAAGGACCAAATGTATAATTATGCCAGTTTTATTAATAGACACGTCAGCAAATCCCTTTTTTTAACAACGAGTGATCTGATCGAATCAATTAAAAAGTTTGGTGGTCGAATTGAGACAAAAAATAGTTCGGTGACAAGATCGATTAATGGCCATAATTTGATAGTCTCCCGTATAGTTTACCCTTCATTTTTTAAGGTTAAAAGGCACCCAAAGTGATCCTCAATCTATTTTTTTTATCAATGTGACCCTCTAACTGAACGTGAATATTTTTTACTAATGTTGACCAACAGTTCCGTTAATTCATGCTATTATAAATTAGAAAAATATCACATTTATCTCTTAACTATATTCTCTCTTCTATTTTAGTCACTAAACACTAATTTTTTTAATTTAATCACTCAATTTTTAAATTACTCCTATTTTAATCATCATAATTTTTTTTATCAATATTTATGTATAATGTAGCATATATTATTATTGTTTTTATTAATATATGATTAAAATAGTATTAATTTAATTAATTTTTATTAATTTTATTAATTAAATTTATTTTATTAATTTTTATGTTTGATGTGGTATATATTATTATTATTTTATTAATATACGATTAAAATAGTATTAATTAAATTTATTTATTTATTTATTTTTTATTAATTAAATGTATTTTATTTATATTTATGTATGATGTGGTATATATTATTATTATTTTATTGATATATAATTAAAATATTATTTATTACCCTACCTTTATTATTTTATTAAATTTTAATTTCGACACATAAATCAAATAATAATAAATGCCAAGTGTAGTAAAGGTGGGGTGGGGTTGTGATTTAGGTTTTGGGGATATTTTTTATTTAAATATATATTTTTAATTAATATTAATTTAATTATATATTAATAAAATAATAATAATAAATTTCACATCATAAATATTAATAAAATAAATTATGATGATTAAAATAAGAGTAATTCAAAAGTTGAGTGATTAAATAAAAAAATTTTAATGTTTAGTTACCAAAATAGAAGAGAGAAGATAATTGAGTGATAAATGGTGTTATTTACCCAATTTATAACAACATAAATAAATAGAACCGTTGATCAACGTTGGTCAAAGGATTATATTGGTTTCTTTTTTCAAGTTAGAGGGTCACACTGATCTAAAAAATAGGATAAGGGTCATATTATTTTTATTATTTGAAAAGTTCACGAACCTCGAGTGTATTTTTACTTTTTTTTATATAGAAGAAACTAGTTTTTATTAAAATAAGTAAATATCTCATTTATAAAAAAATCTCATTCATAAAAAAAGGGTAAATATCTCAATAAAAATTTATAATTATAATTGTAAATATTTATTACCTCGCTAAAAAAATAAAGATTATTAAACTTTTAAAAGAGCATCGATAAATCATAAGTTAGAGTAACTCGATGTGAGAAAATCATCGATAAACACATATAGCATATCAAAGTTTAATTTGAGGGCTCCAAAAGAAAGAAAATCTAACTCGAGGGGTCCAAAAGAAAGAAAATCAACGGAATATGATCAATCTATGCAATGGCAAATCAACCCTAAAAAGATAAACAAAAAATAATAATAAAACGATCAGTAAAGAAACAATCCCAATGGATACCAAATCTTTATTATTTGAAATAAATTAAAATATACATTTAATTTCTGTACAATTTCAACATCCAAAATAATGAAACAACTGCTAACAATGAGATTAAGAAACCTTAAATAACACAATATCCTCTGGAAAACAACATTAGATAACTAAAAGAAAACTTAACAAAATTCCAAGTAAAACACATAACATTTGACATGAATAACATCATATTTAGAAAAGAGATGTTCCTTTCCCCTTCTTGTCTCCACCAATCTCGAAGTGCTTGCACCTCTGCAAAAACCACAATATCAGAAAACGACCGAAAGTTCGCTCCTTCAACAACATGGCTAAGGGTTTCCAATGCACCAACCTTGATTGGATGCTGCGAGACATGCTTGCAACCCTGGCATTGAAGCCTTAGCACAATCTTCTTGGTGGTCTTCGCCTGTTCAGAGGATACTCAGTCATTTATTTATGTAAAAGCTTTTACAAGCCAAGAGGTAACGGAAATAATCAAAATTGAGATGCAGCATAAGATTATTGATCTTTTCAATGTTTGTCTGACATACATTCAAAGGCTTGGCCCTCGACAAAAATGGATAACTAAATTATTGCTTACAACCTAGTGGCAGAACCTGCAGCATAAGATTATTGATTTTTCGATATGTATCTAACATCCATTCAAGGGTAAGTGAAACAAAAATTTACCTTCTTGTGGAACACTGGTTTGGTCTGACCACCATAACCTGATTGTTTGCGATCATAACGACGCTTTCCTTGAGCAGCCAAACTATCCTTACCCTTCTTATACTGTGTAACCTTGTGCAAAGTGTGCTTCATGCACTCCTTGCTCTTGCAATAAGTCTTCTTCGTCTTTGGTACGTTCACCTGAAATACCAATTCACAACTAAGCTCAAAAGAGGAAGTGTCGAAATTTAGCAACCATTTCCGCAATGAAAACCTAGATTCGACTTCATTGACCAATGGCTCTAACATCAATCCCAGGCTAAAGTCATTGACTCATGCCCGCTTTTTGGGTTCATCGCAAAGTAAAGTTAAAATTGATCCATCAAAATGGAATAAATTCTGCATCTTTACTGGAAATCTATTGAATTTAAACATCATATGCAAATAAAAACTTCAAGTAATCCATTTCAATAGTTGGAATATATTACACTAAAGGCAGATAGACGAGTTAAATTCAACATAAATTTCTGACAAATGAGAAACCAGAAGAAATGTAAAACCCAAACTCGACATCCAACCACCCAAATGCTTTTATACAATAATGAACATAAGATTAAAACTTAATCGATTAACAGATTTTGTCAGGGATGAAAAGGTCAGATCCAAAACATGCTCAAAAGATTAATGAAAACCACACAAAGAAAACAGAAAGAAATAATACCATGGTAGCAGCTGAACAAGCAGTAGGCCTTGTTTCGGAGTGGAAATTGAACTAGGAAGCAGCAGCCAATGTAACATTCTAACCTATCTAGGGGTTTTAAATGGCTTCCATTTAGGGCTAGGTTTTGGGCTTAAAATTTAGGGTAAACTCAGTATTCAGTCACCCAAGTATTACCGTGGCTTTATTTTGGTCATCCAATTATATTTTTTAAATTATACTTAACGTTATGTTTTGAGATGTTATCACAAAATAATGTTACATCATCATGAAAAAATCTAAAATTATCACATCAGTTAGAAAATTTTGGTTAATTCCATACGGTCAGTAATTGAATTAGTCGTTTGAACACCTCTAATTATATTATGTTTGACAAGCTAAATAATTAAATTGATATATGAAATATAACTCTTTAAGATATAATTGATCGGTCATAAATTTTTTACGTATATAGCTGACATATCATATGATAAATTTATTTATTATTTATTTATTCTCAAATTGGATTGTCATAAATTAGGGTAAATTACACATTTAGTACCTAAAATATAAATTTAAGTTTGTTTTAATATTTAAACTTTTATTTTTTTTCCAAACTATACCTAACGTTTAGCTTTCATTTTATCTTAGTACCTCATCCTTAAAAACTTAACGGACGTGCTCGCTGGTCGTCGCGTCTACAGTTGTTGATTGTTGTATCTATCGGTTGATGAAGCTCAAACTTTTCAATCCACACTTTTTTGACCCCCTGAATGCAACTCTAACCTCCATTTAAATAGAAAATGTCTCAATCTCCCCAAATCAACAATAAACTCTTCGATTTCTTCATCCTCCGATCTCAATGGTCTACCGTTCGATGGGCCTAAAATTGGACTAAGTTGGTTGACTCATCATTCTCCCATTGTTCGGATTGGTCATCCGTCCACCAAAACTATGTCACATCACATGTCCGTTAGATTTTTAACGATGGGTACCAAAATGAAACAAAAACTAAATATTATATATGATTTAAAAAAATAAAAGTTTAGATACTAAAACAGACTCACATTGATAGTTTATGTTACCCTAAAATTTAAGTTACAAATTTGAACCTGTTTGCGGTTTACCCCCACGCCACACAATATGCTTGTGAGTCGCCTTGAGGGTGCTACTTGTCCCAAGAAATTCGGGTGCATCCGTGCATGAATCAGTTGTAAGTTTGTCCTGACAAATTGAGAAATGATCTTTCTTCATTCATTTTCACAGCGCAATCGCATGCGGCAGCCACCACTTTTTGACTACTCAATACGCAGTGTTCAATGAAGGGGGCAAGTCCCACATACAAAGAAGAATGTACCCAATGTCCAAGTTTCTCTTTTTATTTTGGTTGTGGAGTAAGACGAGTCCATTGTTACTCGAGTTGAGTCGATTTCTTTGGGCAGGCGGACTGGCGGAGGCTAGCCGGAATAGCCACGCAACACAATGGCCAGCAGAGACACCGTGAAAAGGGCGAAGCAGCTGGTGGAGACATCAATGAAAGGGAACGATGCCTCGCATGTGTGGAGGGTCAGAGACCTTGCCCTCTCCCTCGCCCGAGAGGAACACCTCTCCTCCAACCCCGACTCCATGGAAATTGTAATTCATTATATAATTCCCCCCTCTTCGTACGTGTGTACTTAAAGAATCAGTTCAGTCTTCAAATTTAGGGTTTTTTAAATAAAAATTGATCCTTTACTGATACTGATACTGGAACTGAACATTTGATTGGGGATTTTACAATCTTTTTTTTTTCACTATTGTTATTGTTTGACCTTCTCTTTTGCCTTTGGTTTTGCATGTCAGGTGGAGCTACCTGCACTTCTTCACGATATAGGTCCTCTTCTATGTCTATTTCCTAAAACCCTTTTCGATTCCAAATTTGACTCTCACTTATAAATGTTGGTTTTCTGGCTCTGCTGCAGGTGATTACAAATACTTGAGGTCTGTATTTCTAGTTTTTGTTTAAGTATCTTGCTTTTGGCATAAGGGATCTGAATGTGTGAGTTCCTACATTGGCATAAAGGGATCCATCTGAGGAGAAGCTGGTTGAGAATTTTCTCGAGGAAGAGGGCATAGCTGAGAGCAAAATGATGAAGATATTAAGCATAATAAAGGGAATGGGTGGGTTTGAGTATTATTCTGTAGGCTAATATTGTACCATTTCTACTTTCATGCATATAATCCTATTATCTTAGTCATTAAAGCATCTTATTCTTCGGTGTTATTCGATCATTGAATGTCAAGTAGGTTTCCTTATGTGACTCGTCATGAGTGTTCTACTTACCCTTTTCTATGTATTCCTTGATTTGTATTTAAATACGAGTATGACAGACTTCTTGTTTTTTCAGGTTTTAAAGACAACTAGCAGGAGTGGGAAACCAGGAATTTCCCCCTGAATTTGGGGTTGTGCAGGATGCTGATCGTCTCGATGCAATCAGTGCCATAGGTATATGTTTCACCTTAATTCTCAGTTTCTACGTTAGCTTCCAAATGAAATTCCTCCATCCATGATCCCTTATCGATGTTATAAACTCAAACTTGAGATAATTTCATCCCATATTCTTGGCTGACTTGAGAAATCAACTTGCATTTCTTTTGCCTTTTGGGTAGTTTATACATGACTGCATGCTTTACCTACTCATGTGCTTGCTTTGAATTACATAAAGATATCCATATCTTTTTTCGCATTTTGCTCAACATGCATAAAACACCTAGATGTCTTGATCTGAACTAAAGTTCTTTGATTTAGGAATTGCTCGCTGCTTTACTTTCGGTGGGAACAGAAACAGAGTACTCCACGATCCTGCCATCCGACCACGATCTGACTTATCCAAGGAACAATACATGAAGAAAGAGAAGCGGACGACTGTGAATCATTTCCATGAGAAGCTTCTTAAGTTAAAAGATATGATGAAAACTGTCGCAGCCGTCTTTCGGGTGGACCCGGAATTGGGCTTCGACTTAAATTGATTGGGTTAGAGTCGCCACCGATCATTTATTTAAAAATAAATAGGTAGATCGGATACCTCATTTCTTACCTGATCTGCGTCTTACCAAAGATGTGTCGGATTCGGGAGTCGGTTACAGTCAAGGAAGGGTTAGCACCCTTGAACTGCCCTTTCGGTACTACATAATTTCCAGTTGTCTTTAATTAAGAAAGTTATAAATCTAAATTAAAAGGTAAAATAACGATCCAAAATTACTTACCCTTGATTAATTGAATGAAGACCATTAAGAAAAAAACGTTACGTTTGGAGGGGTGAAAATAAATAAGATATAACAACCACAAAACCAATGATACAAATAAGAGGAGACAATACAAATAAACTAATGATAAATAAGATAGATAAAGGAAAAGAAAAAATACTAAATAAATGTATATATACATATATGCATGAATAGCAAAAAAACATACAAACAAAGAAATGAAAACTATATAAAAAACAAAGGAATACAAATAAAACATGTATTAAATAAAAAGGAAACGCAATAGAATAAAAATAAATAAAGTAAATGAAAAAAAATAAAGAATATACATATAATAATAATAAAAAAATATACGTTTATATACGCCATCAATAATACTTAAAATAATAAAAATAATTATGGTTATGTATATATATATATATGTATATATATAAATATAATAAAATAAAATAAAAATATACATAAGATATATATATATAAATAAGGGAGTAAAATATAATAATAATGAAAATATAATATATAATAATAGTAGGGATTAAATTGAAAACGAAATAAACTCAAGGGTCAATTTACAAGGATTTCAGGTTCAATAATCGATTCAGAGGACCAAATTAAATGTTTTTGAAACTGGAGAACCAAAACGCAAATCTCTCGCTTCTTGCAAAAACACACGGGTCCGAGGTTCATCGGGTCGGGCATAAGCTGGAACGGGTTTAATATATGACTCAAACATTTTTTTAGTTTCATTTCTCTCCTCACAAATCAAAAGCTCTCCTCCCCTCTCTGAAAAACACTCTCAAGTGTTCTTCAGAAAATAAGAACACGGCCGGATTCTTCAAGAATCCAGAAACCGACTGCCCTACGCCGCCTCGCCGCCGCCGTTGAACGGCGATGGCCGCCGTTCATCGGCGGCAAAATCAAAAGATTTTTTTACTTTTCCGAATGCTTTTCTTCTCCTCGTTTTGAAAATCAAGTTGGTTTTTCAAAAAAAAGGCCTCGGGTTTTCGTAGACCTATACAAACGATCTCGAACGAAGACATCTTTTCATCGGCCAAAATATTTTTTACTATCAACTCAAAACAACACGATGGACGATAAGTTTGACATGCAAAGGATCAAGCGAACGAAAAGGTAAACAACAATATACCTCGCTTTTATTTCTTGTTTCGAAATGTTGTACAAGTGTTCTGCAATGGCCTCTTGTTATGATGCAAATGCTAAAAAACAAACACAAAGGTAAAAAGTTAGTAAAAGTAGAAATAAATAAATAAATGAAAAAAGAAAAAAATGGCAAGGGAAAAAAACATAGGGACAAAAACATGGTTAGGTAAACAATATCCTAGGTTTTGGAATGTGGTTTTGGGGTAGGCTCTATTTCTTCGAAGTCTCCTGGTTTAGGTTCTAAAAAACGGTACCCGAGTTCTCCTTGCTGGTGCCCCCTTGGGCTTACCAGACCCTTAGTCCTAAACCCATCACAGGCTTGTGTGGACTAAGTTAAACTCGAGGGGACACATTCCCTTATGTCTATGCGGAGAATAAATTCACACGAAGACATAAGGTATATGAATCCCGAAGGCTACTTACTAGGCATATGCGGTGAATAAATTCACACGAATGCGTCGCTTTCACCCCCACTTAAAGGGTTCGGAGCTCGGGTATAGAGCCTTTGGATGAAAAAGTTTGGAAGGCTGAAATCATTAGAAAACGGTCAGTCCAACTATTTACTCGAAAAAAAATATAACCAAAAGTAAGTAATAAGGATCGAAATGTTACCTTAAAGTTCAAACTTACCCTTTTCATTAAAAAGACAACTGGAAATTACCTTAGCCTGACTCACTTACCTGAGTCCCCAGCGGAGTCGCCAAGCTGTCGCAGCCGTCTTTCGGGTGGACCCGAAATTGGGCTTCGACTTAAATTGATTGGGTTAGAGTCGCCACCGATCATTTATTTAAAAATAAATAGGTAGATCGGATACCTCATTTCTTACCTGATCTGCGTCTTACCAAAGATGTGTCGGATTCGGGAGTCGGTTACAGTCAAGGAAGGGTTAACACCCTTGAACTGCCCTTTCGGTACTACATAATTTCCAGTTGTCTTTAATTAAGAAAGTTATAAATCTAAATTAAAAGGTAAAATAACGATCCAAAATTACTTACCCTTGATTAATTGAATGAAGACCATTAAGAAAAAAACGTTACGTTTGGAGGGGTGAAAATAAATAAGATATAACAACCACAAAACCAATGATACAAATAAGAGGAGACAATACAAATAAACTAATGATAAATAAGATAGATAAAGGAAAAGAAAAAATACTAAATAAATGTATATATACATATATGCATGAATAGAAAAAAAACATACAAACAAAGAAATGAAAACTATATAAAAAACAAAGGAATACAAATAAAACATGTATTAAATAAAAAGGAAACGCAATAGAATAAAAATAAATAAAGTAAATGAAAAAAATAAAGAATATACATATAATAATAAAAAAATATATACGTTTATATACACCATCAATAATACTTAAAATAATAAAAATAATTATGGTTATGTATATATATATATATATATATATATATAAATAAAATAAAATAAAAAATATACATAAGATATATATATAAATAAGGGAGTAAAATATAATAATAATGAAAATATAATATATAATAATAGTAGGGATTAAATTGAAAACGAAATAAACTCAAGGGTCAATTTACAAGGATTTCAGGTTCAATAATCGATTCAGATGACCAAATTAAATGTTTTTGAAACTGGAGAACCAAAACGCAAATCTCTCGCTTCTTGCAAAAACACGCGGGTCCGAGGTTCATCGGGTCGGGCATAAGCTGGAACGAGTTTAATATATGACTCAAACATTTTTTTAGTTTCATTTCTCTCCTCACAAATCAAAAGCTCTCCTCCCCTCTCTGAAAAACACTCTCAAGTGTTCTTCAGAAAATAAGAACACGGCCGGATTCTTCAAGAATCCAGAAACTGACCGCCCTACGCCGCCTCGCCGCCGCCGTTGAACGGCGACGGCCGCCGTTCATCGGCGGCAAAATCAAAAGATTTTTTTACTTTTCCGAATGCTTTTCTTCTCCTCGTTTTGAAAATCAAGTTGGTTTTTCAAAAAAAAGGCCTCGGGTTTTCGTAGACCTATACAAACGATCTCGAACGAAGACATCTTTTCATCGGCCAAAAGATTTTTTACTATCAACTCAAAACAACAGGATGGACGATAAGTTTGACATGCAAAGGATCAAGCGAACGAAAAGGTAAACAACAATATACCTCGCTTTTATTTCTTGTTTCGAAATGTTGTACAAGTGTTCTGACTTTCTTTGTGCTTGCTATGGTGACTTTCTGTGTGTATTCGCCGTAATCCCCCTAAACTTGTGTGCTTTACATAATATTTATAGCCCAAAAATGGCTATTTTTAGAGTTTAAATTAGAGTAAAACACTGATGTTGGTTGTTGTTGCTTGTTTCTTTGCGTGGCCGAGAGTCCCGGTCGTTGGAGGCGAGACGTGCGGTGATGGGGGTCTTGGAGCGACGTGATAGCCCTGGAGTCTTGGTGATGCGGCGCTGGATGGGGAAGCTGCTAGGGTTCTGGGAACCCTAACTCCAATGGGTCACGTGTGCTGGACTTGGTCCACTGTTGGGCCAGCAGATTGGTCTTGTAACCTAATTTTGGTCCTGTAATATGCAAGAAATAAATAAAATTAATACTAATATATATATGTAAATATTATAAAAGTGTGGAGACGAAATTATGTGTCTACAAAAACGAAGGTACTCCGATGTGCAATACAATTCCATATAGCTGTAACCATAATTGGGCTGCATGATTTTACTTTATGTATTTCATATATCTGTATATCACAAATATCATTAGTGTCTATGGCGCTATCGAGTTTGGGAACCATGGAAATTTCAGGCAGGGCAAAGAAGGGCCTAGAAAAGGCATAAGTTCATGGAGGAATTCCTAAAAGAGTTCTATTAGGAGTGGGATGGAAAGGCCTAAATGACTTTGATTGTGTGAGTTCCTACATTGGATGATATACCATAATAAACAGGTTGTCGACTGAGTTACTTCCCGTGAACTATTTCTTTATTTTCTACGTTAAAATCATGTCGGACCGAATTGTGATCTATACCTGGATTAAGATTGTGTTGATGTCTGTTGTGACAAGTCGCACATATCACTTCACTATGCTTTGTTTTGATTATGAAGCTGGTTTGCTGCATCATTGAATTAGTTTATTTCAACAGTGTTCATATAGGCAACATGCATCTCAAGTCTCAAGACATAGCATAGAGATACTTACATTGATCATTAGTTTTTCGAATAAATAAACGATTCAACAACAATAATAAACAAATCTATTATTGTACCACCCTAAACTAAAGGCAACTCTACAGGATACAATCTTTTTTTATAGGGTTCAATACCACAGTATAAAAGAAAAAAAATGAGGGAACATATGCATTAATAGAAGGCTTATTCAAGGTATTGAAGCACATATTTTCACTTAAGGTGACTTAACTTAAAAGCTCTGTTTCATGGCGCTTGATAAGGTTCACCTTCAGGCCATGCTTCATATACATGGTCAGGGCAAGCTTTGGTGCAATGGGATGATCTTCCACCACCTTCATATGGTAACGGTATATGGTCGAGGCGGCTGTGAATTTCATCTGATAATAAGCAAAATCTTTGCCTAAACAGAGGCGAGGTCCGCCGTTGAAGGCAGTGAACTTGTAAGCCGACTCGCTCATATACCTGCCGTCTCTTAGCCATCTCTCTGGTTTTATACCCTGCAGTCTTTTCCCCATATGGTTTCCATTCTTCCCATTGCGTAGATTGCATAGACCACGTTCGTTCCTTTCTTCAGCACTGTTCCATCTGGAAATACGTCGTCTTCAACAGCCTGAAATGTACATCAAAATGAAGGGTTTGGTGAACAAATTTCTATTTTCATTATTGCTCCTAGGTTAGGTCAACAAGGAACTCACCAAAAATAATTCCCAAGTCAAAACAAACAAGTTATTATCATCGTCTGGTTTGACGATATAATAAAAATGATAAAAGTAAACAAATGGTTTCCACTGTAGAATATTAAAAGTTAAAAAAATAATCTTTTGATTGGAGGATGTTACTTTGTTGAGTCTATCGACTATTAAAAGTTATAAAATGGTTTTTTAATTATAAAGTGTTGCTTTGTTGATCCCTTAAATATTAAAAGTTACAAAATGGTTACTTAAGTATTCACATGTTACAAACTTGTCTTTTTTGTTAAAAATTGGCAATCAATTGAGTTGAACGTTAATCTAGTGATTGAGATATGATAAAATCTGCTCCCAAAACGGTTTCAACTATATAGTCGTTTGATATTTAGGGATCATATTTTATCATATCTCAATTAACAAGTTAACGTCTAACTTAGATCACTGTCAATTTTTTTAATGGAAAATGAAGAGTTTTGTAACATATAAATGGTCAGATGACTATTTTATAATTTTTAATAGTCGAAGATTTAACAAAGAAACACATTATAATTATAATTGATGGACTGTACAAAATAGTGCCTAATAGTTGGATTACCATTTGTATATACGTTACCTTAAAAAAATAAAAATTGCAAACCTAAAAGTTGAAGAATTGTGAGCAAAAAGCAAGCAAATTTCACAGAACAATCGATCATATGACCTAGTTAAGCTTGAAGAAATAACAAATAATCAAAGGTGATAATTGAACAAAGATTGAAATAAAAATTTAAATTACCTCCTTGTGATCTACAGGTACTGAAGGATACAACCTAAGAGCCTCTGATAATGCAGCTTGTAAATAATCCATCTTCTTTATCTCCTCTGGTTTGAATATCAACAAGGTTTTCGATTCATTGCCATTTTTCATCTCTTCCCTTTCATTAATGATTCTGCTTATCTATTGAAGAATCTTTCGTTCCACCCTTGGGTTCTTTCCCAGCAACCAGAAAAACCAGCTCAATGCCACCGAAGAAGTGTCTCTTCCGGCAAGTATAAAGTTCACACAAATGTCTCTTAGGAACTTGTCTGAAAATGGCTTCCCTTGCTCATCGTTTGACCTCATAAACACGGTTAACAAATCTGATCTTTGCTTCTGTGTTTCGGTTTGTAAGAACAGTTCTTTTTTCCTTGTTTCGATAACCTTTTCAGCGAATTCGTCGACGGCGTTTATCGATCTTTTCAGCTTCTTTTCCGTTCCCAGATCAAGGTATCTCATGGTTTTCCATACCCATTTCGGCGTAACGAAACGGAGCAGCGTCGCCTCCGTAGCGTCCTCGAAGGCTTTAGCGAATGGTATATCGGCCAGTCCGGGGCTCAAGCACCCAGGGTCGACCCCAAAGGCTATCATGCAAACATTATCGAATGTTAATCTCAATAGGACATCTTGAAGATCAATGGAGATTGCTTTGTTCATCGCATTTTCTAAGACAGGAAAGAGCCTAGCGTGAACGAGCTCCAGCAATGACTCGGTCGTCAATTGTCGGAACAAAGCCGAGTGGAACTCGATGCTCGCCGTCTTTCTCTGCCGTTGCCAGGTTTCATTGTCGGCACTGAATATCCCATCGCCGAGAAGATCACACATGTTGTCACAAAAAAAAGGTCCTGTCGTAACCGGCTTTCGTCCGGGCACGAAAAATTTATTTGGCGGGAAAATTGATGTGAATAAATAATTTTGAAAATAATTTGGAAGTCGTCATCGGCCTTTTGGGTCAGGTAGGTCGAATACCTAAAAATTATTATTTTTTTAAAAAAAAAGAGTTTTAAGAAAACATCAATTAAAAAAATGAACTGATATGCGTTTATAACCAAAAATTCGTTCTTTTTAATAATAAAAAGGGATTCGTGGTCGGTTACGTTTAGGGAAGGATTAGCACCCCTACAACGCCCAGAATTGGTACTTTTTAATTATAAATTGTCTCTATTATTAAAAATTTAAAAATTTAAAATATATTTAATTTATAATCCTATTATTTCAAAATTATATAAAATATTTATTTATTTAAAAATATCAGAAAAGGACTTCTAGGTGCCTTAAGACAGTTATTTTCTTTGATATTAATAAATATTAATTTAAATAAAATTAAATAATAATTTTTATAGCATTTATTTTTAAAATACCAGAATAGGACATCCAGTTGTATTAAGACTGTCCTTTTCTTCGATATTGAAAAATATTAAAATAATTTATTAAAAAAAATATAAATTATTATTTATTATATATATTTATGACTACATAATAATAATAAAAATATTTAAATATATAAACAATTAAAACAATAAAAATACAATTAGAAAGATATATTTAAAAACAGGAAAATAAATGAAAACATTTAAAATTAATGACTAAATTATAGTAAAATTAAAATTAAAAACCTAATTCATAATTAATCAAAATTATAGGGATTAAACATGCTATTTTCTTATTTTATTAATTTAGTGACTAAAATAAAACTTATCTAAAATTAGAATATCAGATTAAAATAAATTAAAAATATAAACTCGGGATTAAAATATTAATTATTAAAATTAAGGGATTAAATCTGTTATTTACCCTAAATATATTATTTTAATACAAAGGACTAAAATAAATAAAATTAAAATTAAAGAACCGAATTAAAAGGATTATAAATTCGATTTAGTGACTAAAATGTAAAGTTTATAAATTCAAGGGATGGCGGACGGGATTTAACAATTTAAAAATTACACAAATAGCCCTCCCCGAAACGACGTCGTTCGGGAAGGGCTATTTAAAGCCAAACCCGGCTGGCCCGAAGGGCCAGCTTCATTTCTCGTTTTTTTTCCTCTCTCTCTCTTCTCTGAGAGAGAGAATTTTCTCTCGCTTCTCTCTAAAACAGAGAGAAGCTAACCGGCCGGCAGCCGTCCGCCGGCGTTTTTCCACCGCCGGCCGCCGCCTTCGGTGGCCGAAAATTTTTTTTTATACTAAAATATAGATCGGACCTTCCTAATGACGGTTCCGATGGTTTTTTTCTTCTAAACGGCTCCCGATCGGAGCGAATCTAAGAAAAATACCTTCGGTTTTCGAAGGTTTTGGTGACGTTTGAAGAGGTCTGGTGGTCGTAGCTTCCTCGGTAAGCTTTTCTCCTCCCTTTTCTTTTATTTTTGGTTGCTGGTTATTGTGAGTTGGTCTCTTTTTTGGTATCTTTGCTTTCGGTTTTTGTCTCTCTGGCTCTGTTGTTCTCTCTTCGTTGTTCTCTCTTGGTCTCTCTTGGTCTCTCCTTTTTTCTTTGCAGGTTGGGTGATGGCTTTATAGCCATCACCGGTGTTCGTTTCGGACCGGTCCGAAGGGTAAAGTTCAGTGAGTCACTGGACTCCCAGTGGTGACTCACCGTTGAGAAAGACGTGTGCGGCTACGGCCGACCTTCTGGAGCCTTCGGTAGACGTGGTGGCAACAGCTGGTGGGAAAGAGTGTCGGCAGCGGTGATTGGAAACTGAGGCGGCGGCGCGTGGCCCTAGGGTAATGATACCCTAGGGTTTCATCTGGAACCTTTCTGTGGACCGTTGGATCAAAATCAGATCCAACGGTCATGAGAAGCTGACGGCTGCTGGTGATGATATAAACCCTAAATTGGGTTTATGGTTTAACTGGGCCATTTGGTCGGGCCTGGTTGTAATCGGGCCAGAATTGGGCCTTGAGTTGTATCTGTAATAAAATAATAATATTAATAATAATAATATTAATAACAAAACTAATAATAATAAAAATAATAATAAATATAATAAATATAATAATAAAACCAAATGTAAAAAAAACTAGTGTCTTCAGCTGCCCCTCTTTGCTCATTCTTGTGTTAACAAGAATAGGGCAAAGATGAAAAGACAATAAGTTTTTTTTTTTCATTTTACTTCATTTGATTATGATGGAGATGTTGAATAAATTCTTCTCTTTCTTCAGATGAGTTCTTCTCATTATGAACTTTCTGCTGGGGATGATGTTGACCTATTTCCTTATGATAGAGTCATTCAAAAGGTTAAATAAGCTCTTCTCATTATGAACTTCTTCTTTCTTTTTCAGATGAGTTCTTCTCATTATGAACTTTTTCTGGAAAGGTTGATGCTAATCTATCTACTTCTGTGATAGAATTATGCAAAAGGTTGAACAAGCTCTTCTCATTGTGAACTTCTTCTTCTTCAGATGAGTTCTTCTCATTATGAACTTCTTTTTCTTCAGATGAATTCTTCTCATTATGAACTCTACCTGGCAATGTTAATCCATCAAATGATGAATTTAAACAAAAGGTTGAACAAATTCTTCTCATTATGAACTTATTCTTCCTTCTTCAGATGACGAATTCTTCTCATTATGAACTCTTCTTCTTCAGATGACGAGTTCTTCTGATTATGAACTCTATCTGGCAATGTTAATCCATCAATTGATGAATTTAAACAAAAGTTTGAACAAGTTCTTCTCATTATGAACAAAAGCTTTTCTTCTGATTATGAACTCTATCTGGCAATGTTAATCCATCAATTGATGAATTTAAACAAAAGGTTGAACAAGTTCTTCTCATTATGAACTTCTTCTTCCTTCTTCAGATGTGTTCTTCTCATTATGAACTTTCTCTGGAAAAGCTGATCCATCAATTGATGAATTCAGGCAAAAGGTTGAACAAGTTCTTCTCATTATGAACTTCTTCTTCCTTCTTCAGATGAGTTCTTCTCATTATGAACTTTCTCTGGAAAAGCTGATCCATCAAGTGATGAATTCAGGCAAAAGGTTGAACAAGTTCTTCTCATTATGAACTTCTTCTTCCTTCTTCAGATGAGTTCTTCTCATTATGAACTTTCTCTGGAAATGTTGATCCATTGTTATGGATTTAAAATCTTTGCTAAAATCTTTGAAATTCCTGTTAAAAATTCAACATAGATAAAAATGAATGAAAATGCACCTATTTTTGCAAATACCTAAATATGATGCATGAATGTTAAGTTATTTGATTTCAGATTGGTGAACTGAGTGTTTCTTCATGTAGAAACCTAATAGATCTTTCTTCTACAACTCAGATAATCTATCATTTTTGACAAATGTAGATATAATGTCACAAAACCTCTTGAGAATAAAACTCACTAGTATAGGCTCTTGAAAAGCTTGCATTCATGCTACATGTTGACTCTGATAACAACTCATCTGATTATGAAGTGATGGATTCATATGATTTCACAGATATCGATAGTTCTTTTAATACCGAGAAATCTTGAATTCTGATTCTGATGAGGAGAATAAACTGTTATACTTGACAAAAATGGAATTCTCAGAGGTTGAAGCTTCAATAGCCCTGGAGAAATGTGGTCCAGATTCATCAATTGCAGAATTGACAAATTTTATATGTAGTGCTCAAATGGCTAGGGTTACTGACACATTTCTTCCGGTAAAAGATGGGAAGCCATTATGCGATGATCCCCATTACAAGAAAAGGCGAAATTCGGGCTATTATTTTTGGGAAAAGAATAAACAGAAGAAGCTTAAAAAGAAGCTTCTTAATGAAGACGATCATGCAGTTCATCTTTTAATTCCAATGATTGGTTCTGTAGTTCCTACCAAACCAGATCAGATAACTCAAAGAACACTTCCAGAAGATGCTATTGAGTCTCCTTATTTCTACTATGAGCAAATTCATCTTTCAAATCCAATGATTGGTTCTGTGGTTTCATACCAAACCAGATCAGATAACTCAAAGAACACTTCCAGAAGATGCTATTGAGTCTCCTTATTTCTACTATGAGCAAATTCATCTTTCAAATTTGATGATTGGTTCTGTGGTTTCATATCAAACCAGATCAAATAACTCAAAGAACACTTCCAGAAGATGCTATTAGCACATTTATCTTTCTAATTCAATGATTGGTTTTACCAAACCAGATCAGATAACTCAAAGAACACTTCCAGAAGATGCTATGAGCACATTCCTCTTCCAAATTCAATGATTGGTTTTACCAAACCAGATCAGATAACTCAAAGACCACTTCTAGAAGATGCTATGAGCACATGGCATTTGTTCCAGTTAATGTTTGGACTGGGATATCACAGTACTTATTCGATGTAAAGCCAGAATTTGTAGATTCGAAGCATTTTCATGCTACTACACTGAAAAGGGCTATATTCATAATTCTGCCAATTAAGAATAGATTTTCTCTTATTCTGTTTCCTCCATGTGCTGATGCTTTTCCATTGACGAAGAAATGATGGCCTTCCTGGCATCCAAGAACAAAGTTGAATTGTTTATAAACATGTACAGGAAGTGCCAAATTGACAGAAAGGATTTGTAAGGCTCTTGAAGCTTATGACAAAGAGCCACTTTCGAGTGTCCAGAAGTATGTTCTTGATGAGTGCTGAAAATGGAATATAGTATGGGTTGGAAGGAATCAAGTTGCTCTACTTGAACCTGATGATGTGGAAATGCTTCTAGGTTTCTCTAAAAACCATACACAATAATCTGTATAGAGACATGTTCCATGGTGGTATCAATGTCCTGTCTCTTTTCTCTGGGATCAATGATGCAGAAGTTGCCTTTTTACTGTCTTGGCATACTTTTGAAAGCAGATGTGCAAGAACTGAATGATGATCGATTGGAGCAATTGATGAG